GAAGAAGAAGAAGAAGAAGAAGAAGAAGAAGAAGAAGAAGAAGAAGAAGAAGAAGAAGAAGAAGAAGAAGAAGAAGAAGAAGAAGAAGAAAGAAAAGAAGGAGGAGGAGGAGGAGGAGGAGAAATAATGTCTCCTTCAAGGTGTGCCTCTGCTGTCACTGGTGGACAATGTGGGCAGCTCACAGATCCAAGCCAGTTACTCTCAGCAGGCCGTCCGTAGTGCACTGAAATTCAGGCTGCTTTCTGACTGCGGGGCCAGGATCGGGGCCAGGATCGAGCTCTGCCCAGTCTCACTGCAGGTTCTAGCTGCCCCTCCCCACAGGTTGTTAGGAAGTGCTGACCCCAGCAACTCACCGGCAGCTGCAGTCCACTGAGTCTTCACGGCAGTGATTCTCAACAACAAGCCTCAGAGAGGCCCTCTCTCTGGTGCTCACCACCGCGCCATCTTCCTGTGCTCTGCTGCTGTCTGTCCCCAGGTGCCTCTGCCACGGGGGTCCGGATCCCTGCTTGACCTCTTGAGGGCACTGCCTGGTTCCGCTCCAGACTGCTTTCTTTTTGAGATTCCTTCTCTCCATGTGAGAGGAAGTGGTCACAAAGACTCACTGAGAACTCCCATGTGTTGCCCTCTGGAGAAGAGTTGTAATGCAGAAGACACTCTGTGGGCTCTGAGAAGCACCTGGCAATTTCTGCTCACTGAGTCCATCTGACAGCATCAGGGCTCCTGGGGACCCTGCACAAATGGCACAGTGGGAAGGGAAGAGGGACTCCCAGCTGTTCTCAGGCTGCAGCCTCAGAGGTGCCTGTGTGGGATTCACAGGAAGCCCTTTGTTTTCTGAAGAGTTCCCAGACAACGCTGGGTTAGTCTGGGAGCCAGGGGAAGTGCATCTTGCTAAGCAGCTCATCCTTGCAGCATGACCAGGACAATGTGGTGCACCTGATCAAAGTCAAGGTGAAATTTCACGGGGTTTGGAGTGCTGGAGTCGCCTTCTGGAGGTGGGTTCTAAGTTCTTCCGGGCCTAAGAAAAGAATTGATCCAGCCAAGTGCAAATGGTAGCAAAGTTTTATGGAAGGTAGGAAAAGAAGCAGGCGCTGCCAAGCAACTTCGGGCCACGTAAAAGAAAAGAAGAATACTTTATAGTGTGAGGGTGGGTCACCATGCAACAGAGAACACAGTGGCCAAAACTCAAAGTTTTCTGTCCTTTTTTTGTATCACCCACTTTTGATAAGCTTGGAAGATAGGGGTGCAAAAGCTGGCAGGGAAAGTAGGTGTGACCAGTTAATAACAAGATCCTGGACACATGGGCAGAACAGATCCCAAAGCCCTACACGGGGAGCCCTCATCAGCACTTGAGTAGGTTTTCAATAGGACGGCCTAGACCTGACATCAGCCTGAGGTGTGGGATCGCAGCACCACCTCTCAGGACCCAGGGGTTTCCTCGAGATTTGGACAACATGTAAGGACAGAGATGCCATAAGGAGCCCGCTGTTGTGACTTTCCTTGTGGTTGCCTGCAGAGATTTGTCCAAGGTGTCCTCTTAAATTGCTGCTTTGTCTACCTTTACTCAGCCCAAGCTCATCCCACAGAGCCAGTTTCTCTCTCATCCGTCCCTTTTATTTTCTCTAATAAACTTGGCCATTGCTGTTGGCTCTTTTTGTTCTTTTTTTTTTTTGGAACAAGAAAAATCTAGCTCCAGAGGGAGAGTCCAGCAACCTAGGACTGGGTAATGTTTAATTGGCAAGCCACTCTTAGAAGGAGCTACCCGTAACACTCAGGCTGACGAGGCTGCCCTGTTGGAAACTTTCAAGAAGACCCTGTGCAGGGCTTTGGGAACTGTTCTGCACATGTGTCCCGGGATCTTGGTTAGCCTCTTTCCTCAGCCAGCTTTGGCCGTACCTTCCTCTCTCAAAAGCACAAGCCATCGGGAGGGTTGTGAAGGGAATTCCTCCTGTCCTGTTGGGGGAAAGAGGCCGTGGGGTCTCATGCCCGTGTGCTGGAAGAGCGGGTGTGAGAGCTCTCTCTCCGAGTGCTGGCACCACACTTACTGCTCCCCAATAGCCTACCATTCCTCTGATGATACGAGATCCCATTCCTCTGATGTCTTCTGCGAGCTGGTAAGGCCAGTTTGCCACTGAATCATCGTCACTTTCAACCCAAGGGAGCATCACGGATGCTTCTGTCTTCTTTGTGTGTTGTTCCTCAGCACGGCTTTTCTGCTCCTTGTGAAAGTCTCCCTTAGCTGCCTTATCAGTGATGTCCTCTGTTTTTTCCTTCTTCTATGGATTTCTTTATCGCGTGTGCTGTTTCAGCAACTGAGTGCGTTATCTTTCTCATGGCAGCCCTTGCAAAATGAAGTGGTGCCAAGGCTTGGTGCGGGCGCCCGGGTCCTGGGCTGCCGCTGCTCCTCCTCAGGCTCCACTGGCATCGTCCAGCCCTGCTCGGGCAGCACCCCCACTGAGGGTCACCTCCCACCACCCGAGACTGAGCCAGGCCAACTCGTTAAGCCTCGGAACGCCCATCTGGCGAGGTCAGCACTCTGCAAAACCCACTCTCCAGGTACCTGAGTCCGCGTGTCTCGGCTCCCCCTTGTTAGGATACTTCCCAAGCCTAACTGTAGGCAGCGTTCTCTGCCTTTAACGTCATTTCTCAGGGTTTGAGACCCCCTTTGGTGTATGCAGATCCCCCGCGCTCCAGATAACCATTGTCAACGTCAGTATCTGGCACAAATTATCCAGTGAGCCTGGGGTTGGTTTTGTGGAACGGCAGGAAGAAATAGAAGAAAAACAAAGAATGCGGGGTCAGGGGTCGTCTCTGACACTCACTGCCTTCCCCTTCTGGATTTTGTTTTCCTCAATCATGAAATAAGTGGAACCTAAATAAGATCCAGAGATACCTTTTAGGATGATGGCTTCAGCCTTGAAAATGTTTTATTCTTATAGCATATGTTTGCAAAACCTAATGATTCCATTCATTGTGTGCAGTTGGCGCGCACAGAACACATCGCAATTATTCTCTCATCCCCCCTCCCCCCGTCTCTGGGTCCCCTTCCCTTTTGCAAAAGATCTGTCCTCCTGTTTTCTGTTACCGTTTGTCTTTCTCTTTAACTTATTTGTATTCTGGGCTGGTCGTATAAGAGAAATCATTTGATACTCAAGCTTGTGTGTCCGATTTGGTTCATTTACCTTTATGGTCTCGCGGTGCGTCCATTTCCCTCATGGACGGAAGGTTATCATTATATTATATTATATATATAACACACATATATATATTCTTTATATGTTCTGGATATTATTCCTCTGAAGGATAGCTGGCTAAAATTTTTCCCCATTGTGTAGGTTGTCTCTTCACTCGGTTGGTTGTTTTCTTTGCTGTGCCGCAGATTTTTCATTTGTTGTAAGTCTATTTGTTGATTCTTGGTGCT